GTCCTTTCATCTGTCACTTACTCTACTTAAAAACAACAACAACTTATTTTATAAACTGAGACACGACGAACGACCTGATTGATCAAACTTATAATTCGCTCTCGTTAAACCAATGGTATATTTCATAAAAGCAATATATCGCACTTTTTATCGGTTAACCGCGTTTATAAACTTTTCTCTTGTTCTAAATATGTAGATCACAAACGTCTTCTTTCTTTTGTATATTGTTTTTATACAAACGACACTGATTACTGTAAGATTTTTCTGCGCGCGCTGTGCAATGTAACGTTACGTAACGTTGCAAGTATTTAACGTGTTTTTCATCGAAGTTGTTAGTTTTACTCAGTACGTCTGCTTGTGATCATATTTCATATTATATTTCTTGCAATCATATCTCATCATATCGCACTACGTGCAGCCTCTTCGCCGCTCGGCAGTAATTCGGCACTCTTTAGGTAAAATTTCCGCACAGCTCCATACTACATTATGCATTCAGTTATTGGATAGCGAAAACAATGACAAAAACAATACATTGCCATTGGGAAAACAGATTTGTTTTACAATAGCATGGGGCTGTGCGGAAATTTTACCACTATTTCTTCAGCATCGCAACAAATGTGAGTTTTGGTATTTTGTAGGCTTCACTGTTATTTTCGTTTTAATTTTCCTAAGTGTATTTAGTTTTAGCGTATTTAGTTTAATTTAAATTGTAATAGGTTTTCACTCTTTTTTAACCGGTCCTACCTACTGGTATCAGAGATTGTTGAAATAGAATACATTATTAAGTCGTGTTAAAAACTATCTGTTTCAAGGGACTATTATGCCGCAAAACCGATAAGAAGTATAGTTTATTGCTTAAATGAACGAGCAAATCATTTGGCCATTAAAATTCATTGATTAAAACAAACACCTCTTCCTATTTTCCTTATAAAAAATTTTACACTCCTAATTTGGTCTCATTCTGATCACTTTAAAGGAAGCTGTAATAAAGGAGTGAAGCATTGTACAAAGTGACGGAACAGCTAAAAAGCAACGCAGTTTGGATATCTTGTCACAAAGCTAGAGTGTGACAATATTCCATCCACACGATGTCGAACATTAGTGGAGTCGGAAACCGCTCGTCGAGAGCAGCACACTTTTACTACTGCGCCAATGGTTTGAATGGACTTCACAACCAGATCATTTCATCCTTAAATGTGCTTATAGCAATCACATCCTTTCCAGTTAACCTCTTGATAATTGTTGCCCTTCAAAAAATTACGTCGATTCATCCGCCATCGAAACTTTTATTCAGCTGCCTAGCATTGACTGATCTTTGCGTCGGAATCATATTGCAACCTTTGTATATTGCCTATTTGTTGTCTCCGTACCACTCTAGTCTCTGTTACTATCTGGAATATGTTTCTCCAGTTGTGGCCTTATCTCTATGCGGCGTATCTTTGCTCACGTCAACTGCAATAAGTGTGGATAGATTGTTCGCGCTGGTGCTTGGGTTAAGGTATAGACAAACCATCACAAGGAAACGGGTCTGGGCCTTTGTAATTTTTTCTTGGCTTGGAAGCAGTAGTAACGCAGTAGTTTACCTATATGGATATCGCATTCTTTTATTTACTGCCAGTGCAATAATGTTGCTGTGCATATCAACGTCCTCGTTCTGCTACCTGAAAATATATCGTATACTTCGCCATCACCAGTTTCAAGTCCAAGAACGTGTTTACCTCTCGCGGCCAAATAGGAGGGAAGTACCGATCAATATTGCACGATACAGAAAGACAGTTTCCAGTGCACTTTGGATATCACTGGTGTTGTTAGGTTGTTATCTACCATTTGTTATAATGATATTCATAGAGTACATAACTTATGCGCCAATTGTTGCCTTATTTTTTGAATTAGCAGTAACTCTTGTTCAGTTGAATTCATCCCTGAATCCATTGCTGTACTGCTGGAAAATCAGAGACGTAAGACAGGTAGTGAAAGATATGGTCAAAGAGTTTTTCTGCTCCCAAAGTTAGTATTGCTGCAGAGATCTTTGCATTGGCCGGAATTTCCTGGTCACAGAAGTCATATTGAAGTCCGCTTCAGAGCAGAAGGCTTATTTTATCGAGAAAATTGGATTTTACCAACATTCAATAAAAAGGGAGAGCTTTGCTCGCTGAAGATCCGTTGGCTGATCCTTAGCTACTTCTTGTCTTTATAATTATGACAGTCTAAAAGGATTGTCATCATTATCATCATCATTACTATCACCATCATCGTTATAACTTTTATGATCATAACTTAGCCCATGACCGGTTATGCTAACGATGATCTATATGTGTATATTTCTCACATGTTTGTAATTTCAAACATTTTAGTCTCATTGATAGTATTAAATATTTTGTAAGATAAATAATTAGTACACTGTTTCATAAGGCCTAGGTTTGCGGCCGATATAACGCGCTTTATGATTAGCTGAGGGCGATAGTAAAACAGAGCTTTAACTTCCGTTAACTAAGGCCCAAGGCCCCATCACGAATCATACAATATAGTAATAACGCAAAAAGTTTCGAAAGGACTGAAATTTTATTATTTTTAAATGAAGAATACGTTCAAACTCATATCCTTACTGCTAAATACACCGTATAGCTTCAGATTCCTGCTTAATCGTGAAATGGACACCTTAGGGAGAAAAACCCGGAGAAATTTATCATATCTTACTCACACTTGATATCAAGGTATAACAAGTTATTGACATCAGAGGTAAGGTCGTAAACAAATTATTGTGTAGATTGAAGAAAACCTACCTCTTAAAATTGTTCTATTTTGGGAAAAGGTTTTCAAATCATATTTAATGAAAAAAGAAGACAATAATAATAATAAAAAAAGACACCTGAACAAAACGTCCGATCTCTAATTTTTCCCTTTGCATCTTTCCTTTTTTGCAGCTACTTCTTATATGCTCCATTGATTTAAGGAGCAAGTGTCAGACGAAGGTTATAACTATGCCTAGTTGCACCTAAACTAGAAATATATAGACAAACTTGTTAATGGCGGCTTTAGCCAGCTTGAGTTCCACCGAGTAAATTGACTACCCTGTTTAAACCCTCGCCATTCTGTTACGTTTCACCTTACAACCGATCTTTTGCAGTCTTGATAAAATATGTTTCTAAAAATGGCTGGAGTTTCACTACTATCGGTGTATCGTACAGTTCTTTTATTTTCAGCTTTAGAATATTGCATTTTTTTCTTTTTTTGGAACAAAAGTGGTAGGAAAAAGCGACCAAAGTTTTTTTTAAGAAATGTTAGCTTCCGCTTAAATTTTCTATCGCTCCATACTGAGAAAACTAACGTGTCTTAAAATCACATGTTACTTTGAGTGTCTCCAAAATACTTCACTAAGGAATAGGTATGCATATTCTCAAATGACACCAATTAGTGTCTCTAAGGATAGCATCTCTTCTTATCAAGGCGATATGTTCTAGAACACTATTCTTTTCCGGATCTTTCATGCCTCGGAGTAAGTGAATTCAGGTCTTTCGTAATCGTTTTGATGTACGTCACTTAAAGCAAAGTAGTCCGTATTGTTCTCTAACGGCAAATCATTGCTGGTACGTAGTCTAGAAACATCGATCTCGTTATAGACAGGATCATCGACTTGGGGGTCATCTCTGGCAAATTCGAATACGGGATTGCCATACCCCATATCTATACCCCGGTCAGAGGCTGTCCTGCGCACGGCACTGTGAGACAAAACAAAATAAACATGGTTAAAAGTTGTCTTCGGGTACCAACAGTAAGTAACTAATCATATCAAATATTTTTTTTCAATGGATGTTGTTCAATTTCTATTGCGATCGCTGTAATTACTTTTATTTTACGATTTAAAGATAGGATAGAGGAAGGAAAGCTTAGTGTCGACTCACTTAATAGCAACGGCGGACTCCGAGGGAGAGTCAGATGGGTACAGACCCGCCCCACCCACCCCTCCTCAGTTAAAGCAGCGGTCCCTTCAGCGGTTTGGTTATTTCAGTGGAGGGGGAGGGGGAGAAGGGGGTTGGTTGAGAAGTAGCTAGTAGCGAAAAAGGTATGTCATCTGAAGTGGAGTACGGACCCCACCTGTTAAACATTTGCGGATCGAACCCGCAACAAAAAGGAGAAGCCAAGGTTACCGGGACACGAACCAGGCGAAGAAAAGACTCAAGCAAATGGCGGAAATCGAGTCTCCCCCTCCCCCTCCACTGAAATAACCAAACCGCTGAAGGGACCGCTGCTTTAACTGGGGAGGGGTGGGTGGGGCGGGTCTGTACCCATCTGACTCTCCCTCGGAGCCGAGCAACATTTATGTGAAAGTTACAAGGCGAGATCGCTATCTCTACTTTCAGAAAAATATATAGTGCAGGTTTGATATTAAAAACTGTGCGGTGAACTCCACTCAGAAGAGCTTTGTGGTTTTATATGTAACAATAAGTAAGGGAGGTTAATTTGTTAAAGAAACCATTTGATGTGTGATTGCGAAATATATCTATATTCCTTTCTACCTCTTAATCTTCTTCCTCTAATTTTATTAAATGTTATTTTCTTTTGATAATTCATTTTTGTTACACTGTATCAGGATAAGAAAGGCTAACTTCATAACTTGTTTAGGGCTTTCTGTGCACTATGGGCTAAATAAATCCCCCTTTAAGAAGATAACCCACCAAGGTCTCGTATTGGAGAATATTTGTCTGATACCTAATGCTTGTCAAGGTAACCAGACTGTAACTATTCGGACATAACAAAAACAAACTTACCGACGATGTTTCTTTACGTAGAAGATGGCGATAATAATCAGGGAAATAATAAACAGTACAGATCCTGCTGCAATACTTGAATAAAGAGTTACTGGCTTTAAGCCGCCTTGTTGTTCATCACTGGATATACTTGGAATTTCTAGGGGAAAAAAATGAAGATCGCATAGAATCAGACTACGGAGCTTCTGGTGAAATGAAAGAGCGCGCAAACCTTTCAGACTTAGTGACATGTTAGAGTTGTCGGAAGGGACTGGTACCTCCCACGTCACTATTGCGTACGACTGACCAATTATAAAGATATATGTTCTTCTGTTTGGTACCCTTGCAAATCGTCTTTGTTGTATCCGCACTCCACGATCCACTTTCGAGGCAGGATACGCTACTTTCGCCTACCAGTCGGTAACCAGGGGTATCGTTGCACGATAAAAAGCACTGGGTTTTATAATAAACACCAAAAACTGATCTGCACGAATTTGGAAAAACAGTTCCATGAGATGGAGGCTCAATGGCTTGGCACCTCACAACTTAAGATAAAAGAAATCATGTGATTAAGTTCCTGATTTTTAAGCAGCTATCAGGAATCCTCAATTTAAATCATGTCTTTGAAACCTCTCCTATTTACCTTTACAAATCTAAATATTTTCAGGATGCTTGAAAAGATAATGTTTGTTAGTCATGGGTTGTCACTAAACTGTGAAATGGCTAAGACTGTTTGAGTTGTGTAACCAATTCCTGCACTGGAAAAAAAAAAACTAAAGACAAAAGACTGGAGACTAAACGCAAGCTGACTCGCAAAGTAACATATACTTACTATTACATGTAGAGGTGTTTCCTGACCAGGAGCCGTCCTCTTTGCAAAAACGCTCTCGAGACCCGATTAACTGATATCCCCTGTCACAAGTAAAATTAGCTTGGGAACCAAATGAAAAGCCACAGGAAAGGCCCAAACTTCCATGTGATGGTGGCTGAAGTGTAATGCAGGATTTCCCTGTGAAAATAAAGCCTTATTATGTTGAATTGACGCAATTTCAAGTGTTATAATACACTTGTATTCAGTATTATTGTATTTTCAAGAGAGAAACTATGGATCTACCTGGAAACAATTTTGCTTGCGATAGCTTAGAAGATAAGTATAACAAAACATACATAGACATTTATAGAAGAGTATACGAGCAATATACAAACACTTATCAAAAGCGATAGAAAACAAGCAACGTTTTTCAAAGGCATAGTCAATGTCACATATTTCGATGACATACTCGCAACTTTCACCACGAAGGTGCAGTTAGCTCTGTTTCCGTCGGCGTCTGAAGCTGAATATATTATAAAATAGACTCCAATGCTCAACTGAGCTAACGGTCGAATGGAAGGGTGGTTAACAATCACGTGACCAGAATTATCATCAGCAGTTGGTTCATTCCATCCAACAAAAGCACTGGATGAGCATTCAGGAGTATAGACCACCATGTTCTCTGGACAAGTATTATTGAAAGAAGGAGGAGTTGTGTCTGCAAAAAGAAAAAATTGTTTAATTGGAATACATATATATGTATTGGTATCGAAAATGACTTTTTAGTTTGGAATAAGATACCGCAAATTAGCTCGGACTGTTTTCCCCTTGTTTCATCCTTCGTTTTTATTTACATGTTTATCAGTCGTGCTTATTTTTCGATTTTATGAATGGAAAGACGAGATGATATCTTTACAGTCGACAACCAGAAATTATTTTGTCGGGACTCCCATAACCACTTTCACAGCCAAATACACAATTTGAACCATACGTGTTGCCGCATGAAGAGGTCAGTAGTGCCTCTTTCCGTGGGATGATCAAAGTTAGACATTTTATGACTGTTTAAATAAGACGAAACTTAAAACAAATAGATGTCACTTTCAAAATAACACAAATGGTCATTTTGCAAAAGATGGATAATCTTTGTATTGATTTTTGTAATCCTCAGCAGGGCTTTGAATAATGAATGAATATGAGGAACAGGAATACGCTAATGTCAAGGAAACAAAACAACTGTCATATACAGAAGAACTTTACTCGCAAGACAAAAGTATGAGTTTTACTTCCTCAAAGTAGTATAATGATGAAATCTTAACTCTAGAACTGCGAAAGAAGCAATGTAGAATGAATGCGAGTGTTTCGGAAGATCTTTTTTCGTTGCACTCATAACTAGTTAGAGAATGAGTGATGGGATAACTAAGAAACGAAACGCAGACATGGATTTTTTTGACGCAATAACAATACTACACTTAAAATAGAGAAATTGCAGCTGGTAACAAGGAGAGACATGTCTGGTTCCTTTCAAGATGCACCCCCATCCCCATAACCCCTCTCCTAAAATCATTATGGAAGAAGGAAATAGTAATTGAGATCAGTTACCGTTACACTGAGTTAGAGTTCCTGTCCAAGTTCCATTACTGTTACATGTTCTTGTTGTTGATCCCGTCAAAATGTACCCTTTGTTACAGGAAAACTCACAGGTTTGTTCCGGCAAATTAGAGCAGGGCTCTAGACTTCCATGTGGCGGGGCATACAGCTGTTGACAATGCCTCTCTATGAAAAAAAAGGCAAACCATAATTATTCTTTTTTTCTGAACTGGCAACTGGTTTCGTTCTTGAACGCGCCTTCGTCGAGATTGAAAATACACAGAATATCGGGAGAGCTCAAAAGATGCGTAAGAACCGAAAAAACCGAAGAAAAGAACACCTCCTACTGTCGTCAGTGTTCCTAGAACGTAGCAAGTGCTTCATTAAAAGATGAAGGCCTAATCAGTGCATGAATCAGACATTTAACATAATTTTTTACATTTGTATCGATTCAAATGTTGTATGATAATATCTAAAAAAATTACCTCTACCACCATTCAGTGTGCTCCCTAAAATTAATCGACTGAATGGATGTAATCAACAATTAACTTCCTAACGATTTCAAAACATTTAAAACCATGCAATAAAAATTAACGAACAGTCGATGTCTCTAGCTCCTTACCTCCTTCGCAAATGAAGGCATTACCAGGCTTCAGCTGAACTCCCTCTGGACAAAAACATTGATGTCCACTCGGATTTGGAAGACAAAGATGACTACAGCCTCCATTGAGTTGAGAGCAGCTTGTTGATCCTAGCAAAATGCATAAAGTTTTAACTGTGATCAAAGTTTTGTGTAGTCAATGTCACTTTAACTAGCAGACGGTTATGCCGTGTTCGAAGAAAAAAGGGAATTCGATTCCATCTCCAAACCTTATCTGCTCAAGTATATAAATGTTATGTATGCGCAGTCAAATATTTCAATACCGTTTGAATAGCCCTTAGTAATTAAATTGACACGAGAATCATTTTCATGGCAAAAGGTCATGACAACACCGAGCCAACATCGAAATCATTTTGTTACAATATTGAAATATTCTACCAAGTCTAAAGTAAACCTGTCATCAAGCCAACCTGGTCATCTTGGTAAAGGTTGCAGAAATAGAGTTAGCCACTCCTGAGTGTGCACCCACCTGCTATTGTTTTTTTCTGATCGTAAACATGCACTTCCATCGGCCTTCCCATTCCATAGACCAACACGTCTCTTTGAGAAGATGTCAAATTGTACTTATGAATACTCTGACTCTTCCAGTCAGACCAGTAGAGAGTGTCACCAGACAGGGAAAGTCCAAAGGGATGATGGTTGTACGAAGACAAATCTAGAACAAGTTCTCGGTTATTTCCTTGAAAGTTTACCCTTTCTATCTTATCGAGTTGTACATCGCACCAATACAGCAGCTTATTCTGCGAATCTAGAGCAAGCGCATTAACCCAGACAAGTCCAGAGCTTACAATAACTGTCCTGGCAGACCCATCCATGTTAGCTTGCTCAATCTTTGGTGATGATCCCCAATCACTCCAGTACATTTGTCTAAAATAAATGTTTCACAGTGCTTTTATCACCATTTACCATTTATAGATGAAAAACTTTACTTAGTCATCATTAAATCCAATCTCCAACTTTGGGGTCTTCAGGCAAATAAGATAAAAAAAAAACTCTCTCAAAGCTAATTCACGATGAATGAAAGTTTTCCAACTGCTACAGGAAACAGCAACATCTTCAATGATAACCTTCATAGCTTTAGCATTGCTTGTAATAGAGGGATACCTATCCTTAATTATTATCTGTTCCTCGAAGGAAAACAGCTTTCTTCAAGATTCTCTCTGGAAGACTTTCTGTTTCTCGATACAAACAACGTCCAAGGACGATTATCGCACCAGTTGGAGGCTATTCCACTAAAATTGGTGTGTTTAGAAAAGCACAATTACAATTACTTAAAAGCTTCTCAAGATCAACGAAAATTCTGAATGTGACAACCCTCCCTTTTCTAATAGCTGGAAACTTTCCAGTTCTTAAGAACTATTTTTCTGCTGTGTATCATTCATTAGGGAAATATCAAGAAAAGTGTACCGCAAATTGAATTAGAAGGACAAAAGCTTTGATTACCTCTCCGGTATATCTAGAATTATAGCTCTTGGATTTTCAATCCCTGTTGTGATAAGGCTTTTCCGAAATGATCCGTCTAGTCGTGCTACCTCAAGTTTGCTAGTTCCAGTATCAGTCCAGTAGAGAATCCTTCCAATGTAGTCTACTGCAAGGCCATCTGGCGTTACCACGTCAGTGTGCGCTATGATCTCAACTGACGATCCGTTTGGAAATGCTCTTGCCAACAGTTTCAGGGTCACATCTGTCCAATAGATTTTACCCTCAACTGGGTCGTAGTCAACAGCCACGGGCCTGGAGATATTTATGTTGATTTGAAGCAGATAGCAAGGTGTGTTCGCCACTGCTAAAGGAACCTTGTAAATTTCACCATGATCCGCTTCGGCGAAGAGCAAAAAAAGTTTGCCGCTTGTCTTCTGGAACAAATCTTTAGGGCCAAAAATAAACAGCAACAACAGCAACAAATAAATAAATAAAAGCCAGAAAGATGTTGGTAATGATTGACCCCGCTTCAGACCTTATTTTTGTGAATAAAGTTCACTCACGAAATCCAGAAACGACTTGTAGGAAATCCATAGTACAGTGTACACACTGACCATAACCTACACCTTGCTGCTCTCATTTTTACTTTTTTTCGAAATTTTGGAAAGCTGATCTCTTCTTCTTCACGAGAATTAAGATGAGTTCTTGACATGCACGATCAATGATAACAAATCCCCCCTCCCCGCCTTCGTAATGGTTGAAACGTTGAATAAGTAACCTCACCATAGTCGCAATTTTTTCCGTCCTCCTTAAGAACGATTCCCGACGGACATGTGCACTGGTATCCTCCTGGCTTTAAAAGACACAAATCACTGCACATGCCATTGTTTTGTGAGCAGGGATGTGATCCTTAAAACAGAAAGTAAATAATAATCATAAATAGTAAGACATCATCAAAATTGAGATCACTGATTATTTGTGAGAGTCATTTCCAAGTTTCTCTAGCAACTCGAATCATTTATTACCACGTTTGATGAGACACACCATCGGCTAAAGAATCATTAAACCTTTCACTACAAACTTTATCTTTTTAAACAGTATCAGGAAGGATTATGGTAAAACTACAAATATCACGATTACTTCAAATTACACACTTGAGAAAAAACGTACCGGTCTAATGATTACTTGAGTGAGACTTTTTCTAGTATATGTATCCGGCCGTTAGTGATTGCCAATGTGAATATCTGCTAACTCAGAGAAGATAATAAAGAGGCAGTACTTTTACCTGAGAATATCAAGGAGGGATCAAACACGTGAATATCCATCGGCTTCTGTAGATCCGTAATAACCACGTTCATCTGACCACTAGTTGCATTATAACTTGTAACACTCTGGCTATTCCAATCTGTCCAATAAATAATGTCCTGATAAATTGTTAATCCATAAGGATGAATTCCAGCTGTAGATGGTAAAACAGTCTGTCGGTTTCCTCCATCCAGATCAGACATCTCTATAGTGTCTAGTTTCGCGTCCGCCCAGAACAAACGGTTTGTAGCCTGGTCCAGGGTAAGTCCGTTTGGCCAGGTTAGATTTCCCGTAACAATGGACCTTCTACCCGAGCCATCCATTTCTGCTTTCTCTACCTTCGGATTGGCGCCCCAGTCCGTCCAATACATCATGCTAAGAGAAATTATTTATTCTAAACATTATTAAGAATGGCCTTTAAAGGAATATCTAATTAACAGTTATTGCAAAAAAATGGCCGATTGCATTTTATATATCATAAGTATACATCGACATTTCTTCAGATTATCGTTTTCACACATCTCTCAGATGCTTCCTTTTTTTGAAGTGTATTCAATTTGGTAAGATTATTTTTACTAGTTAGCTTATGCCACAGCCGTGGACAACCGAAAGGCTACGTTTACTACTTATGATACTTCTTTGCTGTTTCCGCTACAACACGTTCACCAGCAGATACAAAAACATTTCAGTCTTAACAAAAATCGTTACTTGCCCATTTCTTTCATCCAGTAGAATGGCTCTTGGTTCATCAAGTCCAGTATTGATCAATTCTTTCCTACCTGATCCGTCAAGACGCGCTACTTCAATTCTATTAGTTCCAGTATCGGTCCAGTAAATGTTCCGTGCTACATGATCAATCACTAAACCCTCGGGGCTTAGGATATTACAACGAAAAAGGATCTTCAATGAGGTTGCATTGGTTAAAGCGCTGACGATTAGACCTTGAGCAACATCCGACCAGTACACGCGATCTTCGACAGGGTCATAGTCCAAAGCGATAGGACGCTGATTTCCTACATGGTTGAATAGTGTTTGAGCGACGAAGTAGCTTACATCCAGTGAAATGATATTTGTTGATTTGTCGTCGGCGTCAGCAAAAAGAATGAACCTCTTTACTTCTGCAATTGTAATCAAAACAGCGTTTGTTGTCAATAAGAGACTCTTTGTAGGGAGGATGATTGATTCATCTCCATGCAGCAGGTTGTCATAACCCTCAATGTATTATTGATTTCTCGAACAAAGAATGCGCAAAACGACAATGCATTACTCGTTGTTTTTTGGAATCTTCTGGCTGGCTTTGAAGGTGGCATGCATGTTCGCCGGTGGTTGGGCGGAGGAAAAATGTACCTGTTTATATATTCACATGTGGTATTCTCAGGTATTCGTTGCATCTCTAAATCTGACCGTTATTAGAATTGCAAAATTACAAGCAGACAAGTAGTATTGCATTTTATTTGAAAGAGATGACAGCTTTGTTAGTATCTATGCGTCATCTCCGGCAATCAATAAACAGTTTCCTTACTTTCTTCACACGTCTTTCCATCTTGCTTTACTGCTAGGCCCGTAGGACACACGCATTCATGGTTGGACGCCTTAGGAACACAGAAATGACTGCATCCTCCATTGTTTACAGAGCAAGGACCTGAAGCTTAAGAAAGAAGCAATTCTTAACGTAAAAGCGTGCAGTTTATACTGTCGACCAAACTTTTTTTTAAAAAGCTGCACACTTGACGACACCACTGACTATTTTAACTTCCACTTCCTCATACACTTTAGTCCAAATTCTAACCAGGAATGCAAGTATTAATCATGAAAAGTCTGAACAGAAAAGAACGACGACATGTAATCATTGAAATGCTTTATGTCAAAAGTACGGCTGTTTAATGATGGATTTGTTTACAATATACCTTTGAGTTTGCAAGTTTTTCTTTTGGGTCGAAAGTGGGAAAATGTTGTTGAAATGTACATCAGCTCTTCACGAGTGGAAAATATTTTTTAGTGCCCTCACTCATGGCAGACACCACAATGAAAAGGTTGTTAGCTGCCATTTGATATCCTCTTTATCAAATGCACTGAGACTCAACACTAAAATAACGTCCAGGACCTTGTCAGTATCCTCCTGACTTTCATGGTTGATTACTATCAGTATTTGATAAGGGGAACCTAATTCATGACTAGCTGATAGCCCCCTTAAGATTACCTGCTGGTTGTCGCCCACTGTCGTATGCAACAATTCCCATAGGTTTCCCACCATTAATACTGAAACTTTTGAGTAAATCTCCGGTTGTAGCGTCCAGCATGTGCAGCTCCCTGTCTGTCAACCAGTCAGTAAAGAACAGGAAAGGAGGGATCAACGCCACTCCGAATGGATGTAGGCTACGCATCTCAAAAAGCAGTGTCCTGTTGTTACCATTGTAGTCGACCGATTCCACTCTGTCATAACCGGCATCTACCCAAAAGACTCTTTTGCCTCCTCTATCGAGGTCAATTCCATTCGGCCAGTAGACTTCTTTTGTTACGATGGCGACTCTTTGCTGTCCGCTCAGGGAAGCTTTTTCAATTTTGGGAGCGCTTCCCCAGTCAGTCCAAATCATTGCACTGTTTAAGTGACGGTATCAATAGGTTAAACTTTAAGCAGATTTTTGAGGTGAGACAATGAATCAATGATTTATCCAGTCTTATAACTAGCCAGTTAGCCAGCTTACCGGTCGGTTATTCAAAGGGTTGGCTCACCAGCCTGTTAGCTAATCATTTAGAGGGTAGGTCAGTCAGTCTGTCGTTCAGCCATATCGGTACATCGATCAGTGAGTCAGTCGGTCAGCTTTTGAAATCGTTCAGTCGATGAATTCACGACTTATTCATTTACAGTTCAAAAGGAAGGCCTCAGACGATTAGCAAAGATCGATTACACGTTACACTTATCTCGCTTAGATTCTCAACGATATCAACATAAGAAGAAAAGAAAACCATCCTGGGATATTTGAAATCACTCTCATTGCGGGAGATAAATTAAGTCCACGACTAAAACATTTAAGATAATAATTCTGCTTGAAAAAAGTAAAAAATAAAATAAAATAAAAAAAAAATGAATTAAAAAATATATATATATATATATAAACTGATTTGATAAGAGATTTGAATTAGAAGAAACACTGTAAAAGCCTTATGAAGGTTGCAAAGAAGCTCTTCCGAAACCGTTTGCGCTCTCCGAATCTCACTAACTGATGTATTGGAAGTGTACACTGTATTATATCCGAGCGGCTTATTATAATGTACTTATAAATCGCACAAATATGACACTTACTCGTTATCCGGATCAAGGGCTATGGCTCTGGGTTCTTCCAATGTCGAGGAAATTAAAGTAAGTTGGTTGTTTCCATCCAGGTCTGATACGGAGATCCTATCATACGTTGTATCAGTCCAATACAACTGAGATGTTCTCCATTGAACGGCTAGTCCATCGCAGACACCAATATTGGTTATGATTGTAGTCGTGTTTTCCTCATCAATCCAAAATCGTTTGATATTCCGTTCCGTCACGTCACTCCAAAATATGAAGCCCAGGCTGAAATGGAGGTCTATAGCCACAGCTCTTGTAAGGCCTAGAATCACTGAGTTTACCTTTGCTTTTTCATGGTCCACTGTTACTATATCAGTTGTATTTGATACCAACAAACATGGTGGAGTGCAAAATGTTGCTATGAATGGAAAAATTGAGTGGCGTAAAAATGGAGACTTGTGTATTGCATCAAGCTAAACTACTGATCATTTTATCGCTGGCAGCACCCATGGGCAATATCGAGCGAGTCCTGTGCTCTAACTGGACTCTTTGTCATCTGACTGGGCCCATCTGCTCGGGATTGTCCCCTTTCATCCCGTCCAAGATAAACATTGTGTGGAGCAGCATAGAGCAGACATTAAAAGTTCGTAATTTTAGGATATTTTTGGCGATGAAGACGCAAAAAGCAAAGAACCATTAACGACACTGGACTGGAAAGGACTGGCTGGACATGGGACATCAAACGATAGAGGAAAAATATCTGACACACCAAACAATAGGTAAAAAAAAAACCAGATGATTAAAAATGGAAAACTGAAGGAGTTTATGATGGAAATACGGATCTGTACGCCCTCAGTTATCGTTATTGCTTATCGTGGACGTTAGGAAGCCTTTTGCAAAAGGATTTACACGAAAGAGATATTTGGGTTGTTTGTTATTTGTTATTGTTGTTGTTGTTGATTGTTGTTTGCTTTTTCGTTTGTCTGTTAGTCGTGTGTCGTAACTTCAAGCAAAATGTGTTATAAGTGTGTGATAAGATATGTTATCAAAGGTCACCTACCTTTACAAGAAGGTACAGGGTTGTCCCAGACGCCTGGAGGCTTATCACCTTGGGCAACACATGAAACATCTGACGAACCATTCAAACGATAACCATTGGCACAGGAAAATTTACAACGCGCACCATAATGATTACCACAACTGCCCATGCGCAAGGGACCCCCTTGGTCTACCATTAGTGATGTGCAATTGATGACTGAAAGACAGATAATTTATTGATTAATGAATAACAGAACTTCAAGGGATCAAAAAGGTTATTAAGCTCTAAATGGCATTACTAATTCCTCCGCAATACAATTCTGGTCAGTTAATTCTGGAGCCCACTATCAACACGTTCTTTGAAGTGGGTGGAATCGATTGCTTAAATTAGATTTTACCTATTACTTCTATCGTGAAGCTGCAAGTGGCTTTGTTTCCTGATTGGTCTACTGCAGAGTATGTAACAACGTAATTTCCTTGGAGAAATCTTCTAGGTGGATGGAAATTAGAGTCTATCGACGGTTTTAATCCTGAGTTGTCAGTGGCCGTTGGTACTGTCCAATTCACCTCAGCGGAAAACGCGTCACGCTCTGCATACGCTACCAAAGGACTGGCTGGACATGGGACATCAAACGATGGAGGAAGAATATCTGACACACCAAACGATAGGTAAAAAAAACCATATGATTAAAAATGAAAAACAAAAGGAGGTTATGATGGAAGTACGGATATGTACGCCCTCTGTATCGTTACTGCTTATTGTGGACGTTAGGAAGCCCTTTGCAAGAGGGTTTTCACAGTTTTGATGAAGAGATTTTTTTTTTAAATTTTTGTCGTTGTTGTTGATTGCTGTTTGCTTCTTTGTTTGTCTGTTAGTCATGTGTCGTAACCTCATGCAAAAAATAGAAACTTAGTGATGTGCCAGTACCTGTACAGTTGATGTTTTCCCCACTCCAAAGACTGCTTTCCAGGCATGTCCTTGTGACATTTCCGTCGACACTCCCATAACCACTTTCACAGCCAAATACACAATTTGAACCATACACGTTGCCGCAAGAGGAGGTCAGTAAAACCCCTTTCAGTGGGATGATCAAAGTTGGACATGTTACAACTGTTTAAATAAAACGAAAATTAAAACAAATAGATTTCACGACTAAAATAACACAAATATCCATTTTGCAAAAGATGGATAATCCTTATATCAATTTGTGTAGTCCTCAGTAGGACATTTGAATGATGAACACCAGTTTTGCAGCTTCGCAGAGGAAGTCTTTGCCACTCCAAATCCCGTTTTCAATACACTTTCTTGAAGCAGAGCAAATTGGGTCTTACCCAGGATAGCAGAAGAAATAACGTTCTGTATTGAAATATTATATTGCTTTCCCTGAACAGATCAGCCGAGAGCTATTGGATGGTTCTGACAGAGCATGAAACAGTTAAAAGACATAATAAATTATTCATGTTGTGCTTATTTAAATTACAACTGAGGTGCAGATAAAAGAAAAAAGTGAATCTCAACAGAGGTGAGAGGAATGTTTGGAACCGGAATACGTTAATGTCAAGGAAACGAAAGGACTGTAATATGGAGAAGAACTTTGATTTCAAGACAAAAGTATGAGTTTTACTCCCTCAAAGCAGTAGAATGATGGGCTCTTAACTCTAGAACTGTAAAATATGCAATGTGAAATGGATGCGAGTGTTTGGGAGGATCTTTTTACTTGGAACTCATAAGAAGTCTGAGAATAAGATATGGGATAACTAAGAAACGAAACGCAGACTTTTTTGTTTTTAACGCGATAAGAATACTACATTTAAAATAGGGAAATTGCAGCTGGTGACAAGGAGATACCAGCCTGGTTCTTTTTGAGATGCACCCACACCGAAGAACCCATCCCTATAACCCCTCCCCCAAAATCATTATGGAAAAGGCAAATAGTAATTGAGGTCAGTTACCGTTACACTGAGTCGGAGTTCCTGTCCAAGTTCCATTACTGTTACATGTTCTTGTTGTTGATCCCGTCAAAGTGTACCCTTTGTTACAGGAAAACTCACAGCTTTGTCCTGGCAAATTAGAACAATGCTCTAGACTTCCATTTGGCGGGGCATACAGCTGTTGACAATGGTTCACTGTGAAAAGAAATTTTTTCACTGCGAAAAGAAATCTTTTTTCGGAAATACGCAGGAAATCGGGAGAGTTCCAAAGATGCGGAAGAACTGAAAAAACTGAAGAAAAGGGAATCTCCTACAGTCTTCAGTGTTCCCAGAACGTAGCAGGTGCTACCGTAAAGAATGAACGCATAATAAATGCACGAATCGAACATCTTTGAACATTTTGTGTCAATTCAAATGATGTATGATAATATATTTTAAAATTCTCTCTACTAACATTCAGCGTGTTTGCTCGTGTTAGGTGAGTAAACGGATGTAGTCAACGATTAGCTTCCCCTAACAATTTCAAAACATTACAACCATGGGATGAAAATTAACTTACAGTCGATGGCTCTAGTTCCTCACCTCCTTCACAAATAAAGGCATTACCAGGCTTCAGCTGAACTCCCTCTGGACAAAAACATTGATGCCCACTCGGATTTGGAAGACAAAGATGACTACAGCCCCCATTGACTTGAGAGCAGCTCGTTGATCCTGGAAACATGCATTAAGTTTTAAGTATGATCATAGCTTTGTGTAGTTAATGTCACTTTAAGTAGACCATGGTCATGCCGTATTTGGTGAAAAAATAGATGCGATGCTATCTCCAACCTTATCTGCTCAAGTATACGAATGTTATGTGAACGCGGGAAAATATTTCAATACCGTTTGAATAGCTCTTAGTAATGAAATTGACACGAGAATCATTTTCATGGCAAAAGGTCATGACAACACTGAGCCAACATCGAAATTAATTCAGTTACAGTGTGTAAATATTGTACTTAGTTTCAAGTAAACCGGCCATCAAGCCAACTAGGTTAGCCTGGTAAAGGTTACAGAAATAGAGGTAGCCACTCCAGAGTGTGCACCTACCTGTGATTGTTTTTGTCTGATCATAAACATGCACTTCCATCGGCCTCCCCATTCCGTAGACCAACACACCACTTTGAGAAGATGTCAAATTGTACTTATGAATACTCTGATTGTTCCAGTCAGACCAGTAGAGAGTGTCGCCAGAAAGGGAAAGTCCAAAGGGATGATGGTTGTAAGAAGACAAATCTAGAAGTAGTTCTCGGTTATTTCCTTGAAGGTTTGCCCTTTCTATCTTATCGAGTTGTGCATCGCACCAATACAGCAGCTTATTCTGCGAATCTAGAGCAAGTGCATTAACCCAGACAAGTCCAGAGCTTACAATAACTGTCCTGGCAGACCCATCCATGTTAGTTTGCTCAATCTTTGGTGATGATCCCCAATCACTCCAGTACATTTGTCTAAAACAAATGTTTCACAGTGCTTTTATCACCATTTACCATTTATCGATAAAAAGCTAATTCTCGATGAATAAATTTAACTTGATAACTTTCATAGCTTCAGTATTGCTTGTAATAGAGGTATACTTATCCTTAATTGTTATCTGTTCTTCGAAGGAAACAGCTTTCTTCAAGATTCGCCAAGACTTTCTGTTTCTCAATACAAACAACGTCCAAGGACGAATATCGGGCCAGTTGGAGGCTATTATACTAATATTGATGTGTATAGAAAAGCACAATTACGATGACGTAAAGGCTTTCTCTAGATCAACGAAAATTTTTAATTGCGACAACCCTCCCTTTTCTGATAGTTGGAAACTTTCCAGTTCTTAAGAACTATTTTTCTTCTGTGTATCATTCATTTGAGAAACATCAAGACAAGTGTACTGCAAATTGAATCAAAAGAACAAAAGCTTTGATTACCTCTCAGGTATATCTAGAATTATAGCTCTTGGATTTTCAATCCCTGTTGTGATAAGGCTTTTCCGAAATGATCCGTCTAGTCGTGCTACCTCAAGTTTGCTAGTTCCAGTATCAGTCCAGTAGAGAATTCTTCCAATGTAATCTACTGCAAGGCCATCCGGCGTTACCACGTCAGTGTGCGCTATGACCTCAACTGACGATCCGTTTGGAAATGCTCTTGCCAACAGTTTCAGGGTCACATCTGTCCAATAGATTTTACCCTCAACTGGGTCATAGTCAACAGCCACGGGCCTAGAGATATTTATGTTGATTTGAAGCAGATAGCAAGGTGTGTTCGCCACTGCTAAAGGAACCTTGTAAATTTCACCATGATTCGCTTCGGCGAAGAGCAAAAAAAGTTCATCGCTTGTCTTTTGGAACAAATCTTTAGGGCAAAAAATAGACAACAACGACAAAATAAATAAATAAATAAAACCCAAAAAGATGTTTCTGATGATTGACCTCGCTTTAGACCTTATTTTTGTGAATAAAGTTTACTTATGAAACCCAGAAACGACATGTGGGAAATCCATAGTACGGTGTACACACTGACTATAAACTACAATTTGTTGCTCTTATTTTTACTTTTTCGAAATTAGTAAAGCTGATCTCTTCTAAGATGAGTTCTTGATATGCACGATCAATGATAAAAAAATCCTTCACCCCCCCCGCCTTAGTAATGCTTGAAACATCGAATAAGTAGCCTCACCATAGTCGCAATTTTTTCCGTCCTCTTTAAGAACGATTCCCGTCGGACATGCGCACTGGTATCCTCTTGGCTTTAAAAGACACAAATCACTGCACATGCCATTGTTTTGCGAGCAGGAATGTGACCCTTTAAACAGAAAGTAAATAATAATAATAAATAACAAAACATCATCAAAATTGAGATCAGTGCTTATTTCTGAGAGTCATTTCCAAGCCTCTTGAGCAACTCGAATCATTTATTACCATCTTTGATAAGACACACCATGAGCTAAAGAGTTATTAAACCTTTCACCACAAACTTTATCTTTTTAAACAGTATCAGGAAGGATTATCGGTAAAACTACAAATATCACGATTACTTCAAATTACACACTTGAGACAAAATGTAACGGTCCAATGATTGCCTGACCTGCAGCTGAGTAAGACTTTTTTTATACATATCCGGCCGTAAGTGATTGCCTTTATGAATATTTGCTAACTCAGAGAAGATAAGAAAGAGGCAGTACTTTTACCTGAGAATATCAAGGAAGGATCAAACACGTGAATGTCCATCGGCTTCTGTAGATCAGGAATCACCACGTTCATCTGACCACTAGTTGCATTATAACTTGTAACACTCTGGCTATTCCAATCTGTCCAATAAATAATGTCCTGATAAATTGTTAATCCATAAGGATGAATTCCAGCTGTAGATGGTAAAACAGTCTGTCGGTTTCCTCCATCCAGATCAGACATCTCTATAGTGTCTAGTTTCGCGTCCGCCCAGAACAAACGGTTTGTAGCCTGGTCCAGGGTAAGTCCGTTTGGCCAGGCTAGATTTGCCGTAACAATGGACCTTCTACCCGAGCCATCCATTTCTGCTTTCTCTACCTTCGGATTGGCGCCCCAGTCCGTCCAATACATCATACTAGAAGAAGTTATTTATTCCAAACATTATTAAGAATTTTTTTGACAAAGTTCACCAAGGTTTAGCTGCTAACACAGCCCAATGGCCTTTGAAAGTATATCTTAACTAACAGTTATCGCAAAATAGATGGATGATTGCATTTTATATATCATAAGGATACGTCGACATTTCTTCAGATCATCGTCAGATTCTTCCAGTTTTTGAAGTCCATTCAACTGGGTAAGAGCATTTGTAGTAGTTAGCTTGTGTCAAAGCCGTGGACAACTAAAAGGCTACGTTTACTACTTATGATACTTCTTTGCTGTTTCCGCTACAACGCGTTCACCAGCGGATACAAAAACATTTCAGTCTTAAAAAAATCGTTACTTACCCATTTCTTTCATCCAGTAGAATGGCTCTTGGTTCATCAAGTCCAGTATTGATCAATTCTTTCCTACCTGATCCGTCAAGACGCGCTACTTCAATTCTGTTAGTTCCAGTATCGGTCCAGTAAATGTTCCGTGCTACATGATCAATTACTAAACCTTCGGGGCTTAAGATATTACAACGAAAAAGGTTCTTCAATGAGGTTGCATTGGTAAAAGCGCTGACGATTAGACCTTGAGCAGCATCCGACCAGTACACGCGATCTTCGACAGGGTCATAGTCCAAAGCGATAGGACGCTGATTTCCTACATGGTTGAATAGTGTTTGAGCGACGAAGTAGCTTACATCCAGTGAAATGATATTTGTTGATTTGTCGTCGGCGTCAGCAAAAAGAATGAACCTCTTTACTTCTGCAATTATAATCAAAACAGCGTTTGTTGCCATTGAGAGACTCTTTGTAGGGAGGATGTTTGATTCATCTCCATGCAGCAGGTTGTCATAACCCTCAATGTATTATTGATTTCTCGAACAAAGAATGCGCATAACGACCATGCATTAATCGTTGTTTTTTTGGAATCACAAGGCTGGCTTTAGAGGTGGCATGCATGTTCGCCGGTTGGGCGGAGGAAAAATCTACCCGTTTAAATATTCACATGTGGTATTTTCATATCGAAATTTGACCGTTATTAGAATTGCAGAATTACAAGCAGACAAGTAGTATTGTATTTTACTTGAAAGGGCTGACATAGCTTTCCTAGTATCTATGCATCATCTCCGGCAATCGATAAACAGTTTTCTTACTTTCTTCACACGTCTTTCCATCTTGCTTTACTGCTAGGCCCGTAGGACACACGCATTCATGGTTGGACGCTTTAGGAACACAGAAATGACTGCATCCTCCATTGTTTACAGAGCAAGGACCTAAAGCTTAAGAAAGAAACAATTTGTAATGTAAAAGCGTGCAGTTTATACTGTCGACCATACAGCTATTTCATAAGCTGCACACCAACACCACTGACTATTTTAACCTCCACTTCCTCATATACTTTAATCCAAATTCTGAAAAGGAATGCAAATTTAGGCGATTGATCATGAAAAGTGTGAACGGAAAAGAATGTAGTAGTACGGCTGAAAGCTTTGTTTACCGTATACCTTTGAGTTTGCAAGCTTTTCGTTTGAATCGAAAGTGGGAAAATGTTGTTGAAATGTACATCAGCTCTTCACGAGCGGAAAATATTTTTTAGTGCCCTCGCTCATGGCAGACACAACAATGAAAACGTTGCTAGCTTCCATTTGATATCCTCTTTATCAAATGCACTGAGACTCAACGCTAAAATAACGTCCAGGACTTCGTCAATATCCTCTTGACTTTCACAGGTGACTACCAACAGTGTTTGATGAGGGGAACCTAATTCATGAGTAGCTGATAGCCTCCTTAAGATTACCTGCTGGTTGTCGCCCACTGTCGTATGCAACAATTCCCATAGGTCGCCCACCATTAATACTGAAACTTTTGAGTACCTCTCCGGTTGTAGCGTCCAGCATGTGCAACTCCTTGTTTGTCACCCAGTCAGTAAAGAACAGGAAAGGAGGGATCAACGCTACTCCGAATGGATGTAGGCTATGCATCTGAAAAAGCAGTTTCCTGTTGTTACCATTGTAGTCGACCGATTCCACTCTGTCGTAACCGGCATCTACCCAATAGACTCTTTTGCCTCCTCTGTCGAGGTCAATTCCATTCGGCCAGTAGACTTCTTTTGTAACGATGGCGACTCTTTGCTGTCCGCTCAAGGAAGCTTTTTCAATTTTGGGAGCGCTTCCCCAGTCAGTCCAAATCATTGCACTGTTTAAGTGACGGTATCAATAGGTTAAACTTAAGTAGAATTTAGCTAGCCAGTTAGCAAGCCTACCGGTCGGTCATTCAATGGGTTGGCTTACCAGCCAGTTCGCTAATCATTTAGAGGGTCAGTCAGTCAGTCTGTCGCTCAGCCAAATCGGCACATCGATCAATGAATCAGTCGGTCAGCTTTTACATTGTTCAGTCAATGAATTTATGACATTCACTTTACATTTCAAAAGGAAGGCCTCAGACGATTAGCAAAGATCGATTATTTCATAAAAGGAATACTATTTAAACCATTCTGGAATATTTGGAATGAGTCTTATTCCGGGAGGTAAATTAGGTCGACGACTAAAACAGCTAAGATCATCATCCTGCTTGAAAAATATATACGTTGATTTTGAAAAACAAATTATTGTCGCCGTTTTTAATGAGATTTGAATAAGTAGAAACATTATAAAAACCTTATGAAGGTTGCAAAGAAACTATTGAGAAATCGGTTGCGCTCTCCGAATCTCACTAATTAATGTATTGGAAGTTCGATAAGTGCACACTGTATTATATCCGAGCGGCTAATCATAATGTACTTATAAATCGCACAAATATGACACTTACTCGTTGTCCGGATCAAGGGCTATGGCTCTGGGTTCTTCCAATGCCGAGGAGATTAAAGTAAGTTGGTTGTTTCCATCCAGGTCTGATACCGATATCCTATTATACGTTGTATCAGTCCAATACAACTGAGATGTCCTCCATTGAACGGCTAATCCATCGCAGACACCAATATTAGTTATAACTGTAGTCGTGTTTTCGTCATCGATCCGAAGTCGTTTGATGTTCAGTTCCGTCACGTCACTCCAAAATATGAAGCCCAGGCTGAAATGGACGTCTATAGCAACAGCTCTTGTAAGGCCTAGAATCACTGAGTTTACCTTTGCTTTTCCATGGTCCACTGCTACTATATCAGTTGTATTTGATACCAACAGACATGGTGGAGTGCAAATTATTGCTAGGAATAGAAAAATTCGAAGCAGTAAAAGTGGAGACAGTGTATTGCACCAAACCAGATAACCGATTATTTTATCGCTGGCAACGCCCGTGGGCCAGCAATATCAAACGAATCATGTGCTCTGATTGGACTCTATGTGATCTGATTGGGCCCATCTTTCCCGCTCGGGATTGTCCCCTTTCATCCCGTCCAAGATGAATATTGTGTGGAGCAGCATGGAGCGGACTTACAAAGTTCGTAATTTAGGAAATTTTTGGCGGTGGAGACGCAAAAAGCAAAGAACCATAAGCGACACTCCTACAAACAGAGTCGGCTTTTTGGTCAACAGAATTAATTAAAAGGAAATTTTTGGACCCATACCTCTGTTAAGACGATCATTAAGTGCCATATGTTAATACTCATACAAGCGATATCAAAAGCTCAATTTATGATACATTCCATTGAGTAACCGCGAAACCTCCATTTGGTGTCAAAGGCTGTAGCAGCTTAAGCAGCAGCTTTCACTCAGTGGGATAAGTCTAATGAAATTGCACGTTTTTAACCGTGAAGATTCTGTTTCTTTTCCTATTAGGATGTGATAATCCTAAATGTAATCAAAAGAAACCCTAAAATTCCTGAATTGAGAAATTACATGCACAATTCTCAATTATTCCTGTGGTTTTATAAAATAACCGATGCGTGAAGTAAAATTTAGATGTAAATAAACTAAACAATTTTTATAACACAGATGCCGTCAATTCATAACCGACCTGCGGTTTCAAATTGGTAAAAACTTCGTATAAATTATATTCCACCCAGAAGCGTGGGATGCTTAATTAGTTGTGGTAGACAGATTTAACGCGATAATGCAGTATCAAAAAGGTTTCAAATAACCGAATAAATGAACAAAAAAGAGTTACATTTTAAATCAATCGAACAAGGAATATCTTATCCACAACTGACTGATCAAGGGATGTTTCCGAGTATGGCGTGTATCAGGCTGGCAACACACCTAAGCTGAGTGACCGGATGACAATCCGAGTGATAATCACTACTGATTGAGTCGGTGCGCAAAACTAGCGAAGTGATGCTTACAATTGTCCGAATTAGTGCAGACAACTAACTGACAGATATCTACGAAAAAGTGTTTCCAAGTATTCATGATGCCTGGAAAGTCAAAGCGCGCTCAAACAAGTTTTTTTCATCATTAAATAGTGAAAGAACAAACGGTCTACATAAAAGGATGAGATATGAATTTGAAACCAAAAGTTCGCTAAACGTGTCTGCAGACTGAATTATCTTTGAGACCGCTTTTTGAGACCGTAAAGAGCGAAAAGGGCATCTTTAATCCCATTTGTCTATAATTGTTTGCTAACATGTAAAACAAACCCAATTAATCTTATGTAATTATAAATTATAATAATAATGCTCACCCTCCACGTTATCGTCTACGTTTGTTATTGACTCGGATCATGAGATTCAAACATGCCATGGCATATTTTCATGGTTAATGCACACAACGCAAAAGAATAAACAAGCTGGCGTGTCAATTAAAAGGATTTTATCATTAGCTGGCACTATCATGAAGTAAAATTTACCTCCATCTGATTGTGAACTCTTCATCAGAAACACTGACGCCAACTTTATCCACCACAGAACATTTGTCATCTCCATAAATAGTTCCTGAGGCAATACAAAAGAGAATGATAATGGTTGAAAATGAAAACTTTTTAGCAGTTTTGTATCTGCCGTGAGTGATGATTTTGCTCGGGAAGAGTGAGATGGAAGACAAGTTTCTATGTGGCTTTTTTTCCCAAGATATCCCTCTAGCTTAGGCAAATTATAAAACAACTGTCAATAGAGTGAAGGCCAGAGATATTGCATTGAAAAGGGTATACATCACGCTGGACTTCTCAATAGAGATATATATTTGTCCTCCACCATCCAAACGGATAGTTTCTGACGTTGGCGAACATAGGGTGCAAACAGTAAAAAAACGTATGAAAATGAAAAATAGCTAAGGGATTCTCTAAAAAAGATCAAACTCTGAACGAGCGACTGATAAACGAGTTGCTCCTTTCAGTCAATTAGGCAACATTAAAACGGACTCTCACACAAAAATTACTCCGCTACAACATATTTTTAAACTACACCCAACTAATCTATTTGCAGATACACTAACGATGAATTTTGACTAACCATTTTCACTTTTGGATCCAACTAGACTAATTTTTAAGATGTTTATCGGCCAGGCAGAATAAAATAGTTGACCTTTGGCAACTAGTTCCCTCAATTTCAGCACAAACAAAACTAACACAAAATGTGTTGATCAGCTCATAAAGGAGACCTCTAGGTGTGTTGATCAGCTGAGTTGACAAACGAATCGATCGGGCGAAGTCCTAGATCCAACTAGACTAATTTCTAAGATGTTTATCGGCCAGGCAGAATAAAATCATTGACCCTTGGCAACTAGTTCACTCCAATTTAGCACAAAAAAAACTGACCGACACAATTCATGAACTAATCAACAACTCGTCTATGTCTCGATATTTAAGAAATTTGAGCTTAGTCGTGAAGCTTTTAGCCCATTAAGACGATTGGTAAACGAGAGTTGCTGCAAGAAAGATAACAAGAAAAATTTTAGAGCTGCGTAGCAAAGAATTGTGACCAATTTTGGTTACTACGCAATTTATTGATTAATTTTGCTTAGTCAAGCGTCACATTAAACTTTTCAATCTGTCTTGTGATTTTAATGATCATAGACATTCTTTTGTCGCATACTTTGAGGTGGTTTGTCTGTTTGCTTATTTCAAAATGCCCCCTCTTTCTTCGCACAAGAGCGGTATTGTTTACGATTATTTGTCTACAAACAAAGATCTTTTGAGTTAGAAATGACTTTCTGTTCATCTGAGTTTTCCCGGACTTGATAAATTATTCATTTGCATGCCGAGGGGACCCATTTGGGATGAACTTTCTCGAAGTCCTACTGATCGATATTATTTTAAATTGAACCGAAAGCTCATTTTTTGAGTAAGCTTTTGTCCGACCGTCTTACGTAACATTTCTTTGTCAAAAAGCCGACAGGAAGGAGGTGTCACGAATCATCCTGTTTTGGAAACAATGTTTTCATATTAAAAGTGTAAAGGTTAAAATTGTGAAAAATTGTGAATACTATGCCCTTAATATAAGTTATGTGCTAAGGACCAGAAATCTCGTGATCGCCTTGTCTGCGCAACCCACTGATAAGATCAATGAAAAAAAAAAAGACATTAAAATTTCTAATGATACACTTAACATAAAATTATACATAAAGGAAAACGTGAAGCAACTGGTTAATGATCCGTGGATCAAGTCGACTTGAAAGGCACACGGGTAACTCGACAGAGGAGAATCAAAAAAGGAAATTAGCGATATTTTCACTTAACAATTATAGTCCATTAGGTGCCAGGTTCGCATTCGCATGACAATAACTAAAGAAACGTAACAACTCAGCGCAAAAACCTTGACATAAAAAAGTCAGTCTACTAAACTGCTTGTGTGATGTGTGATCCAGTAAGAACTCCATTAATCAGTAGTACTAAAACTATTTCCCACCCCCCCCCCGCCCCCACTGATAGTCAATAGAGAGGTCCAAAAAATAGTCGAGCAGTCCCAGGGTCCAATGGTCCGGTCCATACTTTACTCTGCCAAAAAATCAACATACATCAAATTTTCATGATAGTGATAGCAAGTGTGTCCTCGACCGCCCCAAACAAGTCATCGCAGCTCGATTTTAAATTGTAATTTCTCCCAAGAATTTCAATGCTCTTTCTGTGCGATTTCAAGTGAACTGGGTCCCGAGGGCCATAAAAACCAGACACAATAATGCAGGACTGAAATGTGGGGCTAGCCTAAGTTTTTCAAAATTGGACCGTGACGACATGTTTCATGGCCCCCATGTTCATCAATTTGAAACCCTCCTTATAAGTAGACATATTTGAAAGGTCTTGTAACCAAAGCAAAGACTTTGAGAATTCATATCTAACATTCGATGTCACTAGAAACTAAAAAGGCTTGGCACAGAAAGATTTAAAACATAAATGCATCTTTGCTACTTCCAGTAGTGGCTTGTTCAGAAGGATAATTCAGAGATGATGACAGTCTCCGTAGTAATCTGTGTGAGAAAGGAAGTTACCAAGACGAGGAAGGACAGGCAAACTGTAAAACACGCATGGAAGGAAAAATAAAAACGGGCTGGAGCTACGTCTAGGAAAGAAAGCTACAAAGATAAAAGTAAGGTTGAGAGAGTAGAAGGGAAATAAAACTTGGGCAAAAGGTAGATCTTAACATAGATATGCTATCTAGTCTTCAAACTATTGAGTATGCTTTGTGATAGGAACAACGTGCAAAAGTCATGCCTACTCCTTGGATTACATTATTAACGGAATATGCTGCCTGAATAAAAATTATTCATTCATCGGGATCTGCAAATACTGTTCCCGTAGAAAACAATATATCGGCAATCGATCCGTAACACAAACATGCTAGAGGCTATCCACACTACTATTTATCGTATGTATAGGTCCCTCGTTTCAATTTGCCGCGCAGCTCGATAAATATAATTCAACTTCGCTATGTGTTAACATCTAATTTAAAAAATGTATTTCATTCGTCACACAGAAAAAAGTATTTTCACCAAAAAGAACGTCGAAGCAGATGATACGCCTACATCTACTACATCATTGCATCAGCAGGGGTGGCTGTGGTACTTCTACTTATCATCATTGCCTGGTACAGGTTAGTAAGTCAATAAAAAATTTAATATCCTGTTTATTTTCGTCTTCTATAATGCCCTTTCCTAATTGGTCTTTTGGGGAGGTCGGTTCCTGAATCGTGAAGGAAGCGGAAAGACAAAGGCTTTTAAGTTTGGGGACCTCATTCCGTTCACTTGGACTGAGTTATATTCCCAAAAGTTAATATTCTACCAATAATTTTCATTTGCTTGGAAGATCTAACACATATCTATTCTTGGCGTGGTTACATGTTCGAACTTTCTTTATCATCTTATGAATTGCATCTTTTGGTCAATTTTAATAAACCTTAATGAAACTAAGGATTGCAATTTAGACAAGATGCACACAGTTACAAGTTGAGACCCAGAACTGTTAGGAGCGTGCCCCACATTCCTGGCTCACTTTCATGGCTCAGCACGTGCCCAGATCTGTGTTGTATCGTTTGTAAACGGTTTGGTGAAGGGAAGAAAAATTAAATGCCTTTTGAAGAGTTAAAAGTACTTTTTGCATAAAAGTGGTACAATTTTTTTCAGGCCACGCCAATCCTGTTGTATCGCCAAACCAGTATCGATAAATCACAATCATAATTAGCGGCCAGACAACAAAGTATAAGCCCTGTCATATAACAACCAAGCCTGTAGTGAAAATCCCTCGGAAGAACAACACTATAAGCCACAGAGCGATAGGGAACAAGATCCAATATACGATGAAATAACAGACAGAATAAACACATATGCCAGCCTGAAGTCCGCAGGATTACAGAAGCATGACAGTAGCCGCTATACAGGGTTGTGTTACGCCCCTAATTCAGTCTCTCATTACCAAAACGTCCCCCCTACTCAGCATAAGGGGTTTCGTTCGAGTGCAGCCGGCACTCGTTTTGGTTGTCAGGATGAGTGACAGTTTGTAAATACTTCTTTGCCTTCTCTATGTTTTTTGTTTTTTCGAATTCTTTTTTCTTTTTACTAAGCTAACCGTACTTTTCAATCGGGGAGTAAAATTATTTATTCCTTGTTCAACTAACTCCATCTCATCAGGGCAAAGATTTTTCTCCAAGTCCAAAGTCACCACGGTGGAAGTAAGGTAGCCTTAAATTTGCGAAAAAGAAAAATTCCACTCACTGTCAGACCTGAGTCGTATGTTTTGCTTAGACTTGTAACGCATTTTTGTGTAGCACATTGATATTTCAAAGTGCCATCAACGACGAACACTTTTTCTTTTTTTGGATCTACGTCGGCCACGGCTGTTCTCCCGAAAGCGAAAGTGTTTCTGACAGGAAATCATATATTTCTTTTGAAAAATACTGGAGTTGATCTTTTCCCCGATATATATTATAACGCAAACATTTAGCGCAACCTTGCACATCTTGAGCTGTTAGAAATGTATTTCAGCAGACCCTCAATAACAGTGATTTGTGTCATCGAACTTGATCTGAAAACGTTGTCTGCAATTCAAGTGTGAAAAAACAAGGGAGCCAAGGCCTATAGTCTCGTGCCGCTTGTTTCCAAGTAGAAGAATGTGATCACGGATAAAGCATAGGAAAAAAACACAGTCATATTTTGTTCTTAATCAATTTAGTCAGTTCAATGTACATATGTTCAGACCCCCACTTTAAGTGGAGTTTGGAGCGGTTCAAAAGGAAAACACAGAAGACACATTCTTTTCTAAATCTACAACAAGTTTAGTTAAAAAAGGAAAAAACTCGGTCCATAAATGTCTTAATTACAACATAGCCGTAGAATTATCGCTGATAAAGTGCCGAGTACTACAAGTTCACGTCGGTGCAAACAACGCTTAGGAGCATCACGTTCTTAGTTGTTTGGGTCCTTGTTACTAATTTTATTAAACATGCACAGTAGAAAACTAGTGAGTGCTAGTTCGAAAGTCCTGTAAGTTTCACTATCTCGAGAGTAGATTTGGACAGGAAATAAAGTTTCAATAAAGGCGCTGGATGTGATTCATCTATCTCAGCAGCTAATCAACGTCATTAAGAATCCCTTGTAAAATGCATGGTCAATTAAACCTACAGCCTTTCTTAAGTATCTGTTCTTAGCTGCTTCTTGTGGGGGAGAAAATCACCACATTTTTTACAGGTTGTTGGTTTTTCGCTCCGTCTTCTTCTGATTAGTATACCCTCATACACAAACGCCTCCTTGTCAACACTGGGTCACTGTAGGCTCTGTTTTTTGTGTCTGTGTCAAACCTGTAGAGCTGTTTAGTGAAGAGGAAAGGCAGTTCATGTAATCGTGTTCCTACTTTCCATAAACTTAAGTTGACCGGGTCATGTCTTTACTCGAATCTAGCGGCCCACGCAGCAGGAGATAACCTCGTCTTTTTTAGAATGAAGCAACTAAGAGTATCACAGTCCCGTCCCCCTTCCCCTTCATCGCAAGATTACTCCTTAACATTCCATCAAACCTCCCTGAAACTGGACTGGTAACTGTATACATTTCTAGGTGGAGAGACGCATAATGAGCACAAAAAACTTTACCCAAACCCGAACCCAGGGTTTAGCGCATTTATCACTAAGTCACTGCGTCCTACACGTGACTCTTATGTAATCATTAATTCATTCATTAAAAAAGGACTGAAGTCCATAAACGAGGTAAAAAACCTCTTGCCAATTCCATTTGCTAAAATAATTATAATAATTGAGAAG